GTGCAGATGTTCTCGTTATTTGGTTCCAGCAGACGCTGAGAGGTACTCTGGTACTCTGAAGAGAAAAGCCAAGTGGTCCACTTCAAGCACTGATTACCACATTTTGAAAAACTTAAATATCGTCCAGCATCAACCAAAGTTACCAATAGTTTCCCAGACACAGGTGTACAGGTGCAGCATGGAACATGGATTTGTTTAGTGTCAGTGAAATATGGCAGAAGGGAGTGACGGTGCTCTGGAGATTTTGCAGCCTTATAAGAGGACTGAGCCTGGTGGGGTCATATTTTGGTCTTACTCTTCCTGATCACCATGCACTACTTTACAGCGAATGCCAAGTAAGCCGAATTTTAGCTCAATGCGGGCTTTGGAATGGGGGGAAAACATCATGGTTTGTCTGTCTAACTTGCTAATCGCTTGTCAGGAAGGTAAAATGCCTTCAGTGTTACCTACTCTTGTAAAAACATGATGCAAGTGGCGTAGTGGAGCCTGCACTTTTCTGCTGAAGCCCATTTGTTGTTAAGAATGAATTCTGTTTACATTTGCATATTCTTGTAACAGAACACTATTTTCTTCTTCTGTATAGATTTTTTAGTGTAACTACCATGTGACAGCATTATTTGTATTTATCTGACGTTCAGTAAACAGTTGAACTTTTCCGAGTTGATATGGTTTTCATTTGTTTACATTAGGTTATTTTAATGTTTATGCAAAAAAAGTGTGGTGCTAATTAGTAGTTTTCAATGTAAAACTTGCCGAAGTGGTTTCAGTTTGTGTATCAGTACTTTTTGAACATATGCAGCACATTTTAAGAACACCGCAATACTGATAAACATGATAATTCTCATCACTATAACCATATTAATCTTAATCTCTAGACAGTAATGTTACTTCAATAAACATCAGTAAAATAATTGCCATCTATGTTTATACAAGCTATGTATTAAAAGATTTCTGATGGCATTTTCAGATGAGTTAGATAAAATATTTCCCCAAGAAGGGGAAGACCGTCAGATGAGGAAGACCAGTGACATTACTTTAGCTAGGGAGAGGTTCACAGTTCTTAGCTATGCCCTGAAGTTTTGAAGGGAAAGAAATGCTTTGTGGTTCTACAATATGTAATGTTATCGGTGGCTACTACAGTATTTTAATGCTCTTACTGGTTGTGCGACCAAATATTTGTAATGTGAGAGGAATATCTAATGTGTTACACATGTGCACCACCCAGGTACAAAGAAACCCTTTTGGGGGGGGGGGGGGGGGAGTCAACAGTAAATTGTTCGGGGGTGGTGTGGTAGGAAAAGGGGGGGATGTGGGGTCAAAAACAAGGTGGGGGAACAGCCTCAGTACTGGGGGGAGTAAGAAATGGGGGGGGGGGGCATGAGACATGGG